CAAGGAAAGTGCTTCAACTGTGACAAAGTAGGCCACAAATATTCAGAGTGCAGATTGTCAAAGAAGAAGAAAAAAGCAAATGTGGTTGACTACATGGCACATGATGTGTCGGAGATGAGTCTTGCAGCAGTCATTTCTGAAGTGAATATGGTGGGTTCTAACCCAAAAGAATGGTGGATTGACACCGAAACTACGAGATATGTGTGCTCTGATAAAGAGTTATTTATTGCTTTTGAAGCAGTGGAGAATGGAGAGAAGTTGTTCATGGAAAATTGAGCAACTTCTGAAATCAAGAGCCAAGGAAAAGTGGTCTGAAGATGACTTCGGGAAAAGAGCTGACTCTCAACAACGTGCTGTATGTATCGAAAATCTGCAAGAACCTTGTGTCCGGGTCGCTTTTGAATAAGCATGGTTTTCCGTATTGTGTTTGAGTCAGACAAGGTCATCTTGTCGAAAAGTGGAATGTTTGTCGAAAAAGGTTATATTTTCGATGGAATGTTTAAACTCAATGTAATGGTTCTGTTTACTTGCTTGAGTCTTCCAATGTGTGGCATGGTAGACTAGGACACGTTAACTATGATACTTTACGTAAGCTAGTTAACTTGAAATGCATACCAGCATTTCATGTTGATTCCAAATATAAGTGTGAGACTTGTGTTGAAGCAAAATTGACTAGGTCGTCCTTTAAGTCAATTGAACGAAATACGGAATCACTTGATTTAATTCACAGTAATATATGCGATTTAAAATTTGTACAAACAAGAGGTGGCAACAAGTATTTCATTGCTTTAGTCGACGATAGCACGAAATACTGCTATGTGTATTTGCTAAAAAGTAAGGATGAAGAGATAGAGAAATTTGTTCTTTATAAGAATGAAGTTGAAAATCAATTTAACAAGAAAATTAAGGTGCTAAGAAGCGATCGAGGTGGTGAGTATGAAGCACTGTTTGCTGAATTCTATGGACATGAAATCATACATGAAACCACTGCACCGTATTCACCGCAACAAAATAGTGTTGCTGAAAAGAAAAATCGCGCCTTAAAGGAGATGATGAATCCGATGTTAGTAAGTTCTGGATTATCTCAAAACATGTGGGGGATGCTGTGTTATCAGCAAATTACCTTTTGAATAAGGTACCCCGAAAGAAAATGGAGAAGACCCCTTATGAGTTATAGAAAGGAAGAACGCCTTCCTATAAATACTTACGAGTGTGAGGGTGTCTTGCTAAAGTGACTATCCCAACACCAAAGAAGGTGAAGATAGGCCCAAAAATTGTAGACTACATATTCATTGGATATGCACATAACAGTAGTGCTTATCAATTTCTCGTGTATGAATCTAAAATCCAAGATATACACAGAAACACGATAATGGAGTCGAGAAACGTTTCGTTCTTTGAACATGTGTTTCTATGCAGGTCCGAAGAAGAGGCAAGTTCTTCTAAACGGACGTATGAGACTATGACTAAACATAGTCAGGACCAAGAACCAGAAGAGGAGGTTGAGGTTGAACCTAGACGTAGCAAAAGGGAAAGAACAAAAAAATCTTATGGTCCGGATTTTCTGACCTATATGCTAGAAAGTGAACCTTAAAACTATCAAGAGGCTGTGAAGTCCTCGAAAGGATTTCAATGGAAAGAGGCCATTAAAAGTGAAATAGATTCTATCCTACAAAGTCATACATGAGAGCTAGTGGATCTTCCACCAGGAAGTTACTAGGCTACAAGTGGATTTTCAAACAAAAAATGAAAGCAGATGGAACTATTCAAAAGTATAAGGCCAGGTTGGTAATAAAAGGTTACCGACAACGGGAAGACCTTGATTACTTTGATACATATTCTCCAGTAACGAGAATAACATCCATTAGTATGATACTTACGATTGCTGCTTTGCGAAATCTTGAAGTACATCAAATGGATGTTAAGACTACCTTCTTGAATGGAGATTTAGATGAAAAAATCTATATGGAACAACTCGAAGGGTTTTTGTCTCCAGAGCAGGAAAAGAAAGTGAGTAAATTGGTGAAGTCATTGTATGGCTTGAAACAAGCACCAAAATAATGGCATGAGAAATTTGACAGTGTTATGATGGAGAGTGGATTTAAGATCAGCGAGTGTGATAAATGTGTTTACGTTAAAGACACTGAAAATGACTATGTCATTTTATGTCTTTACGTTGATGACATGCTTATTGTTGGCAGCAACGATAAGGTGATCAAATCCACTGAAACCATGTTAAATTCGAGATTTAACATGAAAGACATGGGTCTAGCTGATGTTATACTTGGAATCAAAATTTCAAGAACATCGGATGGTCTTGTTCTAAGCCAGTCACATTATGTGGACAAAATCCTAGAAAAGTTCAGTAAAGATGATACTGAAATGGCTAGAACCCCGATAGCTACGAGTCAACATCTATCTAAGAACAAAGGTGAAAGTGTGTCTCAAGTAGAATACTCGAGAACTATTGGAAATCTGATGTATTTGATGAGTTGTACAAGACTAGACATAGCTACACAGTGAGCAAACTGAGTAAATACCCGAGTAATCTAGGAGCTGATCACTATAAAGGAATAGTAAGAGTACTAAGGTACTTGAGATATACTCATAATTTTGGACTGCACTATAGCAGATATCCAGCGGTCATTGAAGGATATAGTGATGCTAATTAGATATCCGACATAAAAGACTCAAAGTCCACGAGTGGATTTGTGTTCACATTAGCAGGTGCAGCTATATCATGGAAATCTTCTAAACAAATAGTGATAGCCAGATCCACTATGGAATTTGAGTTTATAGCTCTAGATAAAAGTAGTGAATAGGATGAGTGGCTACGCAACTTCTTAGAGGATATTCCAAGATTGTCAAAGCCTGTGCCAACAATTTGTATATATTGTGATAGTCAATCAACAATTGAAAGGGCACAGAGCAACATGTATCATGGTAAGTGTAGACATATACGTCGTAGACATAATACCATTAGGCAACTACTCTCAACTTGAGTTATCACTATTGATTATGTAAAGTCAAAGGATAACATTGCGGATCCGCTAACCAAAGGGTTAAATAGAGAGTTAGTTGAGAAATCATCGAGAGGAATGAGACTTAAACCCTTGAATGGATAAGTTAATACAAAGGAAAACCCAACCTAATTGACTGGAGATCCCAAGATCTAGATTCAAAGGGACAACCTAATTGTAAAAACTTGATAGAATCACCGTGGGGGATATTACCTCCTGCCCATTCCTGTGATGCGACAGTGATGCCCGTAAAGATGGAGGATAGGCAATAGGCTTTTAATGATTCTTATGCGTCGAAAATCGAGCCAAGTAATGCGGGTTACTTGTAATAAGAAATCACCTATATGAGAGAGAAGTGGGGCTGCTTCTAAGGAAATTGTGTGGGGCGCAATTCTTGTGAACTTTCACAGAACCAGGCGTATGTTCATGGCCAAAACGAACATAATAATAAGAACTGAAATGTGTTAGGAAGAATCCTGTGTGAAGTGTATCATCGTTTACATAAACGACAGAACAGTTCAAGGACATTGCGCCTACTGGTCAGCCAGTGAAGTAAATATACTTTCACAAGGGAAGGTTCAAAGGGTAACACCTACCTATCCTATGCAGGTTTCAACTGTTGAACTATCTCCAAGTCATCATGTGTCACATTCGTAAGTTGTCATGTGTCACATGCATGAGTCGCTCCCAATTTTCATTCATGTAGGGAATTGTTGGAAAAAAAACTGAGTTATGGGCCGACTTTGACACTAGTTTTGAGTGGGATCCGGTTGTTCAATTTGGAAGATGAAAGTTGATTTGTGTTCTCCTCCATGAGTACATCAAAATCATATACTTATTTGCCAAAAATGATGCTCTTGTGAATGAGAAATTGAGGCTCAAAGTGTGTTACTCAAAAGGGAGTTTATGCGGGAAAAATGAAGTTGTCCCACATAGGAAAAAGATGAAAAACTCCAAAGGTCATTGTCATTAATGGTAGCCTAGCCTATAAATAGTGGCTCATTTTCCTCATTTCAATACACTAAAGCAAAATCTTTCAAGTTTAGAATATACAAGAAATTCATTTGCATAGAGTTTTGTCTTTTCTGCATTTCTGTCTTGGTGGTAGTGTAGTTCAGGCATTAGTTCAGTTCGCCAGAGTGGTTTCTGCGGTGCTCGAAAGTTATTGGTTTTACCATTGTATTTTGAGAAACGGATGCTTGTTTTAAACCTCAAGTACGGACGGTGAGGGGGCGAATCTGTTTTAAGGAAACCGTGTGTAACACAGGCCTCAGTTTGAAATTTCATTTCCTGCAATTTCAATTATTCGTTCTGTTATTTATTGTAGTAAATTCAATAGTTGATTTGTTGTTCATTCTGTTATTATCCAATTAGTTGTACGACTGTAACTTGCTGTTATATATCATCTTGCCGAACAAAAGGCATATACGGTATTGAAATCGAGAATACCGGATTCCTCATTTTTCATAAACTTGTCGGACTTCAAAAAAGTTCGGTCGACCGAATTGGTGAAACTTGGGATTTTCCCTACACAAATGGCAAATCTTAATTTTTAAAAGTAAATTGTAAAAATAAAAATTTAAAAATCATTTTAAAAAAAATTTTGAATCATGTTTTTTGTACAAATTAAATTGACAAACTTAGTTTACAAATTTTGTATCGATAATATTTAGGTCAATAATTTTAAAAATAGTTTTTTAAATCAACAAACGCTAAGAGGGTGTTTGGGAGACATTTTTGAATAGTAAATTGATGAAAAATGTGTGGTTGAAAAATAAGGAAATTTTTTTGATTTATGTGTAATATTATTTTAATAAAGAATGTGTGATTAAAAAAAGAAATATAAAAATACATTTTGAAAAAAATGAATACCAAACGGGACCTAAGTCTGTGAACAAACTTGTTTGTACAAGTTATCTAGTGGATCCGTATGCCGCATAATTTTTCGGGCTAAGATCTGACTCTCCAAGTGGCAAAATTTCGCCCGATTATCTCTCATCTCTCCACATGCTTATGTACCTTTTCTCCCTCACTACGAAACGTCGAAACCCTAGATAAATATAATTTTAATTTGATAAAATATTTAAAACCTATTCACTTTCAACTCTAATTTTCTCCTATTCCTTCTTTGATTCTTTTCCTCCCAGGCAAAAATGGAATTTTCCTCATAATATGACGTGCTGTTTTTAATTATCTCAATTAATTTTATCTCAAGTGTTTTTCAATAAAATTTCTTTCTACGGGGTTGAGATTTTGTTTTGAATTGTATTTTAATAGATTTTTTTTTTATCCAGCAACCGGTTTGTTGTTGTATTGGAATTAGGTTTCCTTATAGTGGTTTGGAGAAACGAAGGCTCTCATTTTCTGCTCCTTCTGCACTTGTGAGTATTCGCGACATTTTCTTTTTAAATTTCTGTACATCTGGCATTTATTTTTGAAAATGGAACCTACAAATGTGCATCTAATAGTGTATGCAAAATTATAATTTTTTTGTGGCGGACCGGAATGCATGTGATCGATAATTGTGTAAATTTCATTTACATTATTAAGAGATGAAAAGCTTACTCTTCATATTGTTTACTTGGGAAATAAATGGAGCGATGACCTTTTACCAAATAAAGATTCAAGGTTTTCAGCATGTTTGCTCTGGAATATTAATTTAATTAATTTCGGTGATTGCTGGTTGAAGCCATTTTTAATTCATATTTGAGTATACTGGAGTGTGCCTAATGAGAAACTTAAAATTAAATATATCTCTTTCGGCGTTTATTAATCATATTAAGGTGGGTTCATTTCTTTGTGGAATCTTTTACATTCAAAATTTAGCAACGTGCTTTGATGCGAATTTAGGGTGTAGTGTCATATTCTATTACCGAGATGAATTGCTAGCTTGTTGACCTTTTGCTTCAAGCTTCTTATTTTCTTGTAACGCAACACAACCGAGTCTTTTATATTATTTTGTAAAGGATATTTTTAAGTCACTCATAGAGGTACTGCATGAATTGGTCAGTGATAGGGTTTTTTTTAACAGGGTTGATGAGTGGGAAATATGTCAACTCAATACCCTATCCTTGATAACCGTCCAATCAATAAGTGGAAGGTGACTGAGTTGAAGGAAGAGCTTAAAAGACGAAACCTGAAGATAACTGGATTGAAGGATGACTTGGTAAAACGATTAGAAGAAGCGATTCGAAATGAGTGGGCAACTTTAGACATACAAAAAGGTGATATTTTAGATCAGGAGAGTAAACCTGTTGATTCTAATAGCACTATCAATGAAACCATAGCCCAGCCCACTTCTGCTGAGGGAGCACATGAAAGCAATAAGCTTGAAGAGGATGAAATTGTGAAGACATCGCACAATGATGCTGTTCTGGTTGGGGAACCAAGAGATATAGAGGCCTCCATGGAGAACAGTGACATTGCTAATGTGGCTTTTGGTAATCTGACAATGCCCAGCGAACGAAGACTAGATGACGGTGATATTACAGGGGACAATGACATATTGAAGTCATCCAGTAAGGAGGCACTTGAAAACAACAAAGTTGAGTCTGGGACCGAGGTTCTGAAACAGGGCAAGAGCAATGATATTCTTGTTGAGGAACCAGGGATGGTAAACATTGGCTTTTTACCTGTGGCTGTGAGTGCCCAGATCACGTCCTCTGATAGAACACTTCAGGATTTTAACACTAAGGTAGATGGTGACAACACTTGCGTAATGTCAATTTTATCTGGAGAGAGATCAATAGAAAACCAGGATTGTCAGGTGGATAAAGAAATTTTCAAGCCTTTGCAGATGGATACTGAACGCAACGTGTCCTACACTAGCAACCAACTGCATGGGGTGTCCTATCCAAGCAACCAGGTGCATGAGGTCAGCTCTAATATAGAGTTTCAGGTGAAATCTGAATCAATTTCTACTGATACTTTGTCATTTAATGAAAAAAAAGAACTAAAAGATAATTTGAATGCTGATAATGTCCAATTAGAACCAGAAGTTGCTAGGACAGAACTGATGCAACCATCGTCCAGTGAAAAATTTTCACACCATGACATTTTTCATCGCTTGGATGATAGAATGACAGGTGTTAATGAGGGTTTTGTTGGAGAAGCTGATGATGAAAAATCTAGAATCATGGAAGTTAGCCATAAAAATGTTAATTTAGATATTAACAGTTCAGATAACGTAGGGGAAGATAATAAGCTAATTCATGTGACCATACCAAAATATAGCAGTCCAGAACATGCGGCTGAGCCAGAAAGGATGGAATCATCTGCTGAAGAGAAATTTGGCTTTGCTGATTCTACGAAGAAAGGAATTTCACAAGGTACGGTTTTGTAGCCTTAATAAATCATCTTTCCGTTTTATATGAACTGATCCCATATCCCCCCCTTTTTTCTGCTTTTCGTTACATTTAGACAATAAATCACCTGATTTTGATGCAAAAGTCCCTGATGGGGATCACCTGGAAAAAATAAATTTAGAGCAATCTTCAGCTGATGATTCCATGGAGGAGGATGTATCGGAGGCGCGGCACTTTGTCTCTGATCAAAATGCTGCTGAAATTAGCAAAAAGGCTGAGCCAATGGATGATTCTGGTACAGTAGAAAGTGGCAGCATTGATGCTATGCATACTAATAGGTTGGAACCTTCTCTTGAAAATGAGAATAAGACTGCTTCTGATATTCCTTCAGACAAGTTGGAAACTTTTGATGAAAATGAGGATAAGATGGCTTCTGTTTCCGATAAGAGAAGGTTTCAAGGTAATACTGCTATTCATTATTGATTATTCACTATCTTATATACATCCATATTCTATTGACGAAGCCAATAATTTGATAGAATTGAAAGATTCCATTTTCTAGTTATTTTTTATGCAAGTAATAGAGAAGATTTCATTTGCTAGACTACATGTCAATATGCTTGTTATGGAAGATAGACAAAAATTATTGAAATTCTGGAATAAAGATAGATTAAGTGCCTGTATTTGTACAGTGGAACACATATAGTGATGGTGTCTTTAAACTTCAGACCTTTAGCAGTGTGGTGATTAAAAGACATCTAGTAACCTCAAGAGAATGTAGTACACGAATCTTGCTATATTTAATAAAGGTTTTTATCAAGATTTTGGAATAAAGAACGATTTAAAAGTCTGCCTTAGAAACTGGAAAATAATTGATTTGTTTAAAGTGAATTCTTGTAATTTAGAGCCATTGTGATTTTAAGTGATGGAGTGAGCTTTATTATATTCTTGCACTACAATATTTAGAAATGGGTTTAAGATGAATTTCCAAAAAGAGGTTGTAACAATTTTGCTATAATATATTGAAAAGTTACAAGCTATGTGTTCAAAGTGAAATCTCGCCATATTCCTATGAAATTCTGTTTGTAATCAATTGAGAAAAAGTACATATCGCATGAACTATAGTGTGCATTTGTGCAGTTCTCTATTTAGAAAACTAAAGGAAGATATAATTTCCATTACTGACGACGATAATCAAATTAAAAGTTATTTTTTTTATTGAAAATTATGTGTTGTTATCAAAATAGCAATTGCTTCCATATGTTCTTTTTAATTGTATTCTGTTGTCATTTTTTGCTGTTATTCTGTTATTTTGTACGATTGTTCTTTTGAGCTGCTATGTGGTGTTTAACTAAATAACAATTGCTCTCATCTCCGTTCAAATGTATTTGTTATTTTAATTTAGCTGTCCTGTTGTTTAAAACTGCTTTTTATACGATCATATCCCACTAGATAAGACAATGACCAATCCACTGTATATTACTTTGTTATTTCTAGTAAATTTTGGTGTTCATACTTGTGCTGTGTAAATGGTCTTTGGTAAAAGCAGCTGTAGCTGATGAGAATGCGCCTCCAAAGAGACAGCGTAGATGGAATAGTGAAAATGTTAAAGTACCAGAACAACAAAGCTCAGGAGTTTCGGTTACTACAACATCGAATAGTTTATTTTTGGCTGTTTCAGAAAAGCCGAATGTTGCTGTACCTGACTCTGCACTCGAGCAAGATGCACCAAAGGAACGCATTGGTTAGTGCATATCAAATACGTGTTTGGTAATTCCAGTTGCATTAGTTTGAGTATTATAAGTGCTTAATTTTTCATTTTGAAATTGCAGTACCACCATCAGCCAAAACACCCACCAATTCACTCCGAATTGATAACTTTCTGCGCCCCTTCACATTAAAAGCTGTTCAAGAGCTTCTGGGCAAAACCGGTAAAGTTTGCAATTTTTGGATGGACCAGATCAAGACCCATTGTTATGTGATGGTACCCCATCTCTGCCTCTCTCTTCTCTCTTAACTCTGTTTCCCCCTCTCAACCTGCTCCTTTTTGTTCTCCATAAATTTATTTGTGTTTATTTTCATTTGCTAGTTTTGTTTGAAATGGGGTAAGCACCATATCCTTGAGCTCTAGCCTCTGTTTGAACTGCACAAATTTAATTGATCCAACTGTTGCAGTAAAATGGTTCAAACTTATGAGAAGAATTTCAGAATATCACATCTTTATGACTTTAGGCTAGTGGAATGTTAGTCGACACCTGATAATAAAATATAGTACGGTTATTTAAGTGACCTTGTCCAATTGTTTGACTTTGCAGTATTCTACAGTAGAGGAAAGTATCAAGACTCGAAATGCTGTCTACAACCTCCAGTGGCCAACAAATGTAGGGCGGCTCCTGATTGCAGATTTTGTTGATCCCGAAGAAGTGAAACAGCGAATCGAGTCTCCCTCACAGTTTGCTGCGCTTCCTGTAAGTACGAGCCCTTCAGTGGTTCCAATACAGACTCCAAGCCAGCCAGCACAACCTTGCCAACAGGGCCCAAACAAGCAGTCCGAGCGTCGACATCCCTTATCACGGGATATTCCTGCTTCCGGTGCACCTAGACTGAACGAGCGGTTATCCCGGGCACCATTAACAGTTCCGGAAGAAGTAGATCCCCCAACTCTTACTTTAGATGACTTGTTCATGAAAACCAAATCCACCCCCAGAATCTATTACTTACCATTAACTGAAGAACAAGTTGCTGCAAAGGTGCAAAAGAAAGATTGATGAAGGCATGTTAAACTTTGGTGTTTTAAGGAGCCTTGGTTAAATTATTTAGTTTAAGTAGGTAATGACTTCTTAGTCCTTTTAACCTTTTATTCAGATTTGAATTTTCAACGTGTAAAATTTTCAGACTGCACGAGGGGATTGAGTACATGTTCCTGCACTTTGATTCTGTGTTCGATGTACTTTATTAGACAAGTTTGGATATCATTAAGAATAAGAGTCGTGTGATGAGATTTGTATTTTTGTCCTCCATCAACCTGCTACAATTTCACTAATCACTTGTATTTTAGCTTTGATATGGCTCGTTTGACAGGATTTATGTTTTTGTTTTTCGAAGAAAAGCTTTTTGAAACTTCCGTAAAAATCTTGTAAAACTTTTTTAATTGGACCAAGTACTTTAAAATTTTTACTGAAGTATATAAAAACTGTTTTTTTATTCTTATAAATAGTTTTGACTTTTCAAATGTTCTATTAAACGGACCCTTAATGTTGGGCTGCATTTAAATTTTCCATTAGATTGTGAAATCTTCATTTCAGAAGTCTTCACAATTCTTCTCTCGTAAAATTTCTCTCACTTAAAAGCATCAACGTCTAAGTTCTTATCTTTTCCAGACTCCCTACAATTCTCAACCACTTTGCTTCTATTTTCCAATCCCATAAAAATTCCTCAAGTTGGCATGGACAGATAAATTGAAAAATACTGTATTTGAACAAAAATACTACAATCTCCGATAACGCAGATAGAATCGCATTATATGATACTACTACTGTAAGTTCGACTACTGAACATATTAATTCTTCTATTTTTGTCCTACATATATAAAAGAGGCTATAAAAGTCAGGACATGTGTCAGCATTTTGAATCATCACCATCTTTTTTGTTCTTTCTTTTTTTTTTTTTTTTTTTTTAATTTTTTTTTCCAAATTTTTTTTTTTTTTCTTTTTTTTTTTTTTTTTTTTTTTTTTTTTTTTTTTTTAAATTTGTTTTGCCTCAATTTTCCCATAATCTGACACAACCTTTTCTACATTTGTTCACGTAATGAACCATACTTCTCATCCATTCCACGCCCTCCCACTCCCACCTCAAACCACAACCACCCATATTTCTCTCTTTCTTCACCAGTTCTAAATTTAGAGTCATATTTAAATTCACTCCGCAATCTCATACTTTCAAAATCTGACACAAAAGTTTATCTGCACGCACAGCCATACCTCCAATTCTGGCCAAAATTGCAACGCTATGATGAACTCCATCACCCACATTTTATACAACCCAAGAAGAATAGTTTTATGGTCACATATCTTCAAGAAACGTTTTAAATCAGAATCTCTCTAATTTCTGGGTAAGTATATGTTTATTGTATTTTCATGTAATCATTTATTTTCTGTTTCATGAATTTTACTTTTCCAATTTTTTTCACTTGAATTAATCATCATTTTTCTTAAATTTTTTACTTTTCTTTCCTTTTTCACTTATTTAATATTATAATTTATACAATTTTGGTTTCACGCGTCAGTGCTTTCCTGGGAGCTTACGGTTATGGTTAATCAAGTTAGAAACTAGAGTGAAAGTGACAGTCACACATTTAGCTTCTTGCAAGTGACGTTACATTACCCCGGATTTGTTTGTCTGTGTAAGTGTTGTTTATTTATTTTTTCCCAATATTTCTCTCTAGCTCCGTCTGCGCACGAAGCTACGTTGTTTATTTATTTTTTATTTTTTCCCACTATTTCTCTCTAGCTCCGTGTACGCACGGAAGCAACAGCTCCGTGTGCGCACGGAGCACCTCGGCGCAGAGAAGCTAATCATCAACCATCCTTCTTCCATTTTTTTTTTCCATCACTTCATTCAACCTTTACTTACCATTACTTCCACTTACGTGTAACAACTTTTCAGGATGATCTTCCAAATCACCATCTCCACTGTTGGGAATCTACTTAACATGCGCGGCGGAAAATTAAAACAATTTTCGATTTCCACCACGGATCTCTTTGTGTTTAGATAGAAATTGTGATAAAAAATGTACATTTTCTAGATTTGCAAATTCCTTTGCCATATCTTTTTTCCAACAATTTGGTTCCGTCTCTCACAGCTGTCTAATTGTCTAGCCTCCAACGGTGATCCACACAGAAAATAAGATTGTAGGACTAGGGTTATTTTCTTGTGCTAGCAATAATGAATTTTCCTACAAAATTGTAAACCTCAATCAGTTATTTATATAAGTCCAAACGGGTTTGGCTTGACCCAATCCAATATTTAATTAATCTATTTAATTAAAGGGAAAATTACTTGAAAACCTATATTTAAAGACTAATTTTCAAAAAACAAGAAGTTTAAATTTCATTTCAAAAATCAGGTGATAATTAGATTTGAATAATTATATTTAATAAAATCTAATTTAACTTAAACTTACCCTCTCCCCCCGACCGCATTCCCAATCCCATTTATCCCTAACCCTCATCATCACCCTATTCTTTCTCTCTCTACCCACGAACTACACTGGAGGCGACACCGGTGCAACCACAACATCACACCATCGACGACTAGCTGCACGATGCGATATCCCAAAATCGAATTACCCTCACCCTCATCCTCTTATTTCTCTCTAACCTCTCTCTCTAGCCACGAACCACATGGAGGCGACGCCATCACCGGCGCGGTTAACATCACATCGTCGACCAGCAACAGTACGATGTGGACTTGACCCTGCCAATTGTTGAACGCATACCCCGTTTGCCGCACTGAAATGCAAACACACACAAACGAAGTGAACGGTGGCGTCATCCTTGTGTTTGGAGATCTGAGGGCGGTGGCGTCATCTTTGGCATCACGATGTAGCAGCTTAGGGTATTTTCACCCGTTGTGGTTTTCAGTAGCGATAGCGTAATATATCTTCTTTTGCGGTGGTTTTCATGCTTGGGTGATGGGGGTGCTGTAATGGTGGGACGTTGACGGTGGTGGTGAATCCGCTGAGGGTGAGGTGGTGGTTTTGATGCTGCTTATGGTGGTTTGGGATGGTTTTGACTTTGAAGTGATGGTTTTGTTGGATATGGTGGTGACTGATTTTTGTTGGTGGCAGTGGCAGTGGATATGACGGTTGGGGCGGTTTTTCTTGAATATGGTGGTGGTGGTTTGGTTATGGTGCTAGCCTCTGTGGTGATGTTGTTAGGTTATATTGATGGTGGTGTGGTGTGGTGTGGCGCGGTGTGGTTTTGTCACTTGTATTACATGTGTTTCTGGTGAAGTGGTGTACGTTTGATTGTCGATGGTAAGAGTGGTGATGAGTGACCAAATCTATTTTTATTGTAACTGCCTGTGACCAGATTTGTGTTAATCGTGACTGTATATGACTTGGCTATATATAGTCACAAATTAGATTAACAAGGTCACAAATAGTCACACCGAAAATAAATTTGGTCGTGAACACATAATGTCACAGTTCATACGTTACGGGTCACAATTCGCAATTAATGTCACATGTTTGAGTTTACAAGTCACAGTCATTTTATGTAAGTCACAAATTAGTATAAACGGGTGACAAATCAATATTAACAAGTCACATGTCGTTTTATAGAAGTCACAGATTAAATTTATAGGTCACAGGTTTGAGTTCACAAGTCACAGTCATTTCATATAAGTCACAAATCAGTATAAACAAGTGACAGATCAATATTAAGGGGTCACAGATCAAATTTATAGGCCACATTTTATATTACGAGTCACAAGTAACAAATCACAGGTTGAAAATCATATTTTATATCTCACAATGTACACAGGTCACATGTTATTGTCAAGAAAAAAATTGCGAATTTAATATATTTAATTACAAAAATATTTTTTTGATTAATTATTTCATAACTAAATTTGATTTTTGAAATTTCAAACTTTTTTTCATAATTTTGAAATTGATCATACGCATATTCATCTCACCTGATTAGGTCACAGATTCAATAAAATCGATCACAAATGACAACGTGCACAGGTCACAGATTTAATGCAACTGGTCATAGGTCAATGGCCAATGAGTGGTCATCGAAATAGTCGTCGGAACAGGATAAGTCACCGGAGCCATCGCAGGAGAAGCTGCCGTCGCCATCTTCAGAAGTTGTCGAAGGTGAGGTGGGATGGAGAGATAATGAGAATGGTTTAATGTGATGGGTGGCTGGGTTGAAGGTGAGATAAAATAAATAGATTAATTATATTATATAATCATTAAATATTTAATAAGTTTAATTATCACCTTATTTTTGAAATATTTTTAGAAGTTTGTTAGTTTTGAAATGTGATTTTTAATTGAAGGACTTATGTGGTCTTCCCTTAATTAAATTCGATCCGTAAATCAATTAATTTGGGTTTATAAATAATCAGTCAAATTAATTAATTTATCCAACGATTGATAAATTAATTAATTGATAAATTACAATCTTCCAATTTTCTTTTGTGTGCGATCCATCAGGTTCCCGATCACGATGCCTAACGACGTAAAATATTATTTTGATCTAATCAAAATTGATAAATTAAAACACCCATTTAATTTATCACAAATTTACACTCGTCGTCCCAGATTGACATCTAGAAATATGTCAGGGCAATACATGTGACGAAAAACGTCACGTGGTATGATAGAATCAAACTCGTTCGTTTGCCGTGAAACTATAATCCCTTTATCAATATGATCCGATCAATTAAGAGATATGGAAGCGTGTCAATCCCGATTATCAATCATATCTTTCACTTCACTATTAAGTCAATATAAGTCGAAAACTCCTTTTTGACTTTTGAGTACACCTTGGCCAAAGATTTTGTTATTGACTTAATTGAATGAAACACAGATCATAATCTTTTACTATCTAAGAGTAACGAATCCTCTATTAATCATTTACAACCTTCATATAATTCTTGGCATAATCGAACGATACCGTATTGGCGGCTCTTGGTAGAGCAACATCCAACACAGCCAAAGACTGTTCTCATATAAGGTACCATGACGACCTCAAGTCAAATGACCAATTCCACTACCGAACGTTAGAGATTAACCATTGACACTCAGATAGTTATCAATGCAGAATCTCTTGGTGGGTCTCCAATGTTTTGTTAAATAACAAAACATCCATGTGTTTATTCAAGTGTCACCATACTTTAACTTGTGAGATCAGCTACTTACTTTACAAGTAAGAAATACCACACGTGATGGTCTATTCGTATCTCATTATTACTTATGACCATAAACGATTTAAGATTCAATCATATGTAATTTGTATTTTACAATCACAACTCTCTGTGATTAACAAATTACGAAAATTTGAATCTACGGACTCTATTATTTAATTTAATTGTTTATTAATTAAATTTAATTAAATAATAAATCTATCAATAAATTATATTAATTATATATTAAAAATATTTATGTTCAATGTATAATTGGACATAGATGTACAATACTTACACCCACTGCCATAACCACGTTTTCTATCCTCCCTTCCATTCTAAACCCTCGATTTCCTTCCATTAATTTCGCCTCTCAAAGAATGAGCTGGCTGTACAAGTTCAGATTTATGTGCGCAATTCCACTGACTTTTCTATGGATTTCTCTTTAGATTCTTCCAGAGGGCAGGGACTTGATGATTACGTAGTTCACGTAATTCGGGATGGGTTATTTTTGGGGAGTTGAATTGGACTTCCAGAGAGTGTAGTTATGAGGCTCTGCCTGATGTTTTCTGGGCGAGACATGATCCTACAACTCTTAATCGCCAAGTGAGTGTTGATTATTATGAGTTAATTGAGTTGGGTTCTTTATCAGATGATTAATGCTTTGAATTTTCAGCTTGGATTTCCATAATGTAGTGGACAAACAAATATGAATAGATTCAAAAAATTTCTCTTCCTTTCTTTTTCCTTCACTAAATTTTGAAGTACTATGGTTGTATACATGCATATTAAACAATCTGCACTTTTAGCGTTACAATGCATTTTTCTTTTCAAATTGGTACAGGATGATTTGTATACTTCAGAATAAATGCTCAGTAAGAAAATTGATAATGTGCGTTTTGAGTCAATTTTATTGCTAAACTGTTTCTGTTACAAATATTATGTTGTTAGACTGTCTTTTTTGGCTGAAGATTTTCGACATTAGATTAAGTAGTGTTTCTTTACAATGAATCCCTGATACATTTTTGTCCATTTCAACTATCAAACATTTTTTCTTCATATACATACTATTTAAATTTGGTCGGTATGTGGAAAATTGGTATGGTTTCTTTGTCATTTGACGAGTAACTTCTTTATTTTAAATTGATGGGCTTTGATCCATTTTATGTGCATATCCTAATTCTTATCTTTTTCTCACATTAATTGACAGCTCCTTTTAAAATATTCTTCATATTTGTATATGTGATCTGCTTGAATCTGGAAAGACTAACCACCTGAATGAAACGTCCCCACAATCATTCGACAAAGCTACAGCTCCAGCTGTCATAAAATCACAACAGGATAGCACTGTCGAGAATCAATAATCCTCTTGGGATTTCTTTCTCCTCTTTTTGGCCTATGTGATATCCTATAATTGAAAAATAGCTTTTGTATAATGGCAGATTTACAAGTTTAAGCAAATGGTAGCCTGGTGATAAAATGTTGCATGTCTGATGGCTGATTGGGGTTTGATTTTGCTGCTGAATTTCTGTTGGCCATTTTCACCGTTTCATTTTTTAAAGCTCAATGATATTGTTAGTGGCCAAATTTTATTTTTTATTGTATCACAAGCTGACTCCTTGCAATTTCATACCTTGGGCATGTATTTTCCTCTAGGATTAGTTGGATAGTAGCTTATGAATCCTACTAACCAAGCTTCAAGTCCAGTGAAGGGTTCTGCTTCTAAGGGGCTACATTTTCCATGGAAGACATATAAGGCAAATAAATATGTTACCTTCATGGTTCTGCAACCAATTTTGAGCCACCTTGGTTGATGCGAACAAGACTAGATAAGGTTGCACTGGAAATTCTGGAGTCAAGATTTAAAAATTATTTTTTCCCAGATATGTTTGTATGTATATATATTATGACTCCAAATTTGTGTCCAACACTGAACTTGTGTCAACAAGTCTTTATTACTTGGAGGATTCTCATTTCCTTTATCTTGAGAAACTGATAGAATTTTTGTTCTAACCATTGGATAGGTCTTTATTTGTTGTTTGCTTTCTCATGAAGGTGTTGTTTGAGAAAATTTCTCGAAAGGTAATTCAACTACTTCCAAAGAAACTAGAAGAAGAATAAATAATAAATGGAGATACCTTAACTCATAGCTTAATTCTTTGGGATAAGGTCCAAATTGACACAGATCAAGTAAAAATCAATCTTAGTTAAAACCTCAAGTAAGAGCTTCGAGCATGTTTGGCTAAGCTTAGAAAATTCACAATAAGCAAGTTTTAAAGTAAGCATTTATTTATTGGTCAAAGTTTGAACAAACTTTAAGTAACTCTTTTACTTAGAAAGGAAGGAAAAAGTAAACTATTGAAAATGATACTAAAATTTCTTTTCATTTTAAACTCAATTTACAAGTCTCGTGTGTTATGGTACGCGTACAGACACCTCCATATCTCATACTCTATCACGCGGTTTAGCACTCTGTACCTCCAGCCAACGCCCCCATAACCTTATGCTCCATTACATTTTTTTCACGTCCATCTTTCTAAGTTTATATTGATACTAGAAAACAGCCTAAAGACTTACTTTTACATGTTTTTTGAGAGAGGCTTTAATCATTGTCTGGGATGAAGAATGATATTGGATGCACAGCATGTCTTCCCATGCTTATGAGTTATTGTAGAAGTAAACTAAACTGGTCAACTGAACCCTGATTTATACAGTTGGAGAATCACAAGTAGCACATGTAAATGTTTTGGAACCATATTTTTGTTTTGAACCTCTTTTTGCTTTCTTTTTTCTAATGGTAATGCTGAAATGTCATCTTTATTCATAGAGTAGATTATGCTACATGGCTGTGGTGTTGAAACAGTTTTGATTATTCTATTTCCATAATGCAGAGTTGCAGCAACAAAAAGTCCAGTGATATTTATCTAAAAAGTGAACACATGAATGAATTTGAAGTTTTTGATGCCAAACCATTTGTGAGCCGACTTTTAGGTCTGCATCCTTTCTCATGGTTATGTACCTTCAGTTCTAATGTTATTCAAATGAATAATCTTTGCTTATCGTAGATGTTTTGGTTAATTCTCCTATTAAAAAAAAGATGTTTTGGTTAATTCTGTTTTGCAATGTACAATTTTCAATTTAATTAGGCATGTGCGACTTGTCCGGATTCATGGACAAAGTCCATGAAGTAATTCCAAAAGATCAACAGACCAAGTTTCTGGAAAAGCTTGAAGAAGGAAAGTTTACGTTGAGGATCATGTTCGAGTATGTTCAGCATATACTTCAAATGGGTCCAATTGGCCAGGTCTGTCACATGCCAGTGTTGTTGTATGCACTGATTAGTTGCTATAGTTTTGTAGTTGGCCTATTATTTTTTGTGATTTTACACCACTCTTCCATTCCACCACGTTTTTCTTGATTTCCTACATTTTTGACTACATTGATTTTGATGATCTTTGTAAAAATTTAGTTCAATAAGTCTCTGCAACTTTTAGCAAACAATTGAAATTTTCTTTGGATTTTGAGTCTTCAAGGGAGTTGCTAATATTACTTCAAAGAACTTGTAATTAAGCCATTGTCTGGCCTCATTTCTTAAAACTCATTTTCCATCTTACATTTGTTGGAATCACAACTTTTATATGCTTTTCAATCACACATTTCACCAACTTTCATCAAAATCTACTAAAAAAACTAGGACCGAACCGAACCCGACGGTTCTTGTCAAATTAAATATCCGAACGGGTATTTGAATTGATAACCGACGGGTACGGTTCGGTTCTCGATTCTAGACCAAGACCCGAAGAATCGAATAAGAACCGAATATTTCTAATTTTTTTTTTAAATTGAGTAAATCCAATTATTTTAATTTCAATTTTTTCTAAACAAACTAACAAATTAACGATTTCTAAATCTAAATTTTTGGTCCAATAATTTGTTTCGCTTCTAATTTTTTAATTTTTGGCCCAATTACTCATTTTATTGTTTCATTTCTTAGCCAAGCAAGATCAAATACACTAAATAACCCTAAACACCAAAACTGAAGTGCATAACGTTGTCTCGACTCTCGCACTCACTCTACAGCCTCGCTAATATTCCAAAACCTATACAATCATTGGTCAACATTGTGACCTCTGATCGAAGCTGTGACCTTCGCCAATTGAAGCTTTGATCGTAGCGATCATTTGAATAAGGTAGTTTACTAGTCTCTGACATTCCAAAACTATTGAATATATCATTAGTTGTATTTATATAATGTTGTTATAAATGTTAAAAAATTTAATTATAGTACAGAACCGAACCGAACTGAACCGAATGGAACCGAACCCGAACGGTTCCATAATTATATTTGGACCCGACGGTTCCATTTATTAGATATCCGAAAATCTCGGTTTGGTTCGGTTCTCTTTAGAATCGAACCGAACCGACCCGCGCCCATCCTTAAAAAAAACTAATTGTTATCCAAACCAAACAGGGGCTAAGGGTTATTACATTATTTAAGGATTGTTATTCGTTGTTGCTTTAATGGAGGATTTAATTGACGAATTTGGTGGGAAGTGGAATGATTGGGATGCAGTTTTATTTATTTTATTTTATATATATATTTTTTTCAGTAAGCATTATTTTGATTTCTCCTCTAAACCCACTTGCCCAACTCTTTGTGGGGAGAGCTTAGCTAAGTTGTCTTGCTCTCCAAACTTATATTGGTCTGTTAAGTGATTCCAATGCTTGAAACTCACCTAACTCGGTCAGGCTATTTTTAAGCAGATAAATTGTCCTTTTTTAAGTGCGAAATACTTTTGATTCTTGAGTTACTTTGCATGTTTCAAATTGTTATATTTTCATAGATAGATCATCATTATTGTTAGTCTTGAGCTATAATTATCTGCAAATGGCTTTTATTCTTCGTTTTCAAAAGCTTTGCTTTCTTGAGCCCGTCAATTATTCTTCATGTTATCAATCAAAAACTAATGAGACACCCAAAGTTGAGATTGAAAATCAAGGTGCTGTTTTTGCTGTGCTAGAAGAGAACCCGAAAAGGAAGAAGTAGAAGGAACAGCCCAAAGAATGGAGGTGCATGGATTCATGCTGTTAGATGATTGGGTACATGTGCACCAACTGGTCGTTGCTCTTGTTTCTATTTCATTGTTTGCCTTGTAATTTGCCTGGACTTAAGGTGCCTGAGCCTCCCGGAGTGAGGCTGAAGCGTGAAGGCCTCAACGCGCTCCATCCCATTGTTTTGGTGCTCGGCATTGTCACCGGAAGACTGGAGCTCTAGGAGGTGAAGCTTGTTATGATGGCCTTTTTTACAGGTGGCTTTGGGGCAGTAGCTTTGCAGAGACCTTCAAGATATTTGAATTACATAATTGGATTTTGTTTTATGTTCCAGTTTTACATACTATTTTGCTCATGGATATTTTGTATGGGCTATTTTTATAGAGAATTTGGTACACATTGGCTATGAGGGGAAGAATATGCATATGGTTGCTTATATATGTCCACAAAGATTTTTCCACTTAGAGTCTGATGTTCATGTTGTACAGAGTATGTCAGATGGAATTTTCATCCCTACATGAAGGATATCGTTGTAGTTGTACCTTTCATGTGTAAAAATCTGGTTTTTCTTTTTAACATATGTGTTGACCTCCAAAAATGGCTCCTCCACGTGGCCAACTTATAGCTACTCCACGTATTCCTCCCTGCGAAATGAACAAATGGTCAGGCACACACGGTCGGAACCAACGGGGGTGGTGGCGGTCGTATACACTCCGATGGTCAAGTCAGGTTTAGGTGGTCGGAACAGTGCCCAGGGGCTACACAAATCAATCAATAAAGGGGGAGAAGAAAATATAAACTTGTTATGGAATGCTGTGTATTGAGAGTTTCATTACCTTTGCCTCTTGCCAAACTTTGGGTATTTATAGGTGGTATGAACCGTGGGATGTGGGACACGTGTATACATCTGATGGTATGAAGCGTCTGCTCATAGGCGTCAATCAGCCGCGCTTGTAGAGTGGGCGGACAGTTTGTTTCCCCCGAGTTGAATTGACATAAAGTTGATAAGTCACATCAAATAGCCTCATGGGGACGTCAAATCAATTTAAACATTAGATGCAAGACAAATCTTAAATTGGCGGCGGATCTTCTAACCGGGGTCCACTTGATCCCGACCTCGGAGGTGGGATGCTTCGGCAGATCAGTAGTAGGAATCGATATATCACTTCGGAGAAGCTTCGGGAGGGTCGGAGTGGTCTACTTGGTGGTGAAATGAAACTTCGGTATCGAGGCCCGAATAATCGAGGCCTAACAGTAGTCCCCCAAATTCGGGAATGAATATTTATATTATACGTTGATTTGTTTTCCTGACCGGGTCGCGGCGTAGGGGTAGCTGAAACTTTGTAAAGCATGGGAGGAAACGCAGCGGCCGAGGCGATGAGCCAATGGGGCGTTCGCGTCGGGTGCGTCCAAGCTTTGTAAAGTTTGAGGGACTCATCTCGCACCGATGCGTTGACAGGAAAAGGTCGATGCGTGGGGAGATGACTGAAACTTTGTAAAGCATGGGAGGAAATGCAGCGGTCGAGGCGATGAGCCAATGGGGCGTTCGCGTTAGGTGCGTCCAAGCTTTGTAAAGTTGGAGGAGGAGCTCATCCGAGGCGACCCAAACGTCCAATGATTTGACAACTGTTGCGTGTTTCCAAGGTGGCAGTTGGGTACCATGCCCATTCTCCTAAAAGGCTGCTGCGGCTAGTAATTATTATTGACGACTGTTTGTAACCGAGGTGACGCGTTTCAATTTAGCGTGAAAGTCACAGCGACATCTTGGGCGTAGATCAAATCTGGCGTTTCATTTCAACGGCCCGGATTGAGGATGCGACGAACGGTTTAGATTGATCGTATTTGAATTCAATGGTGGAGATTGGACTTGTCTTTCCTATAAAAGGCGAACTCTGGGTTTTATCAGAGTTTCTATCTTTGCCAGACGAAAATCATAATTTGCTCTCAAATTTTCGACGATTTTCGGCGTTTTGCAAGCAACTCCGGCGATAGAGAACGATACTTCCGGCGATCCTGCACCATTTCCGGCTAGGAAAAACTTCCAAACCCGTAAGTTTCAGCACCCATTTGGACTGTAAAAAATTTCTTAACGAATGGCCTCAGAAGGGAGTTCTGGTTTGGGGAGGGGCTTAGAAATAGTGAGGGTGGACGAGCCCATTGTGGCGACCTCCTCAGAAATAGCTGGGGCAATAATGGGGGGGGGGAGAACATATGGAAGCGACCAGATAGCCCCCCGGATACTTCTGTGCATTGGGGGGCGTTGGACTACCCATCAAAATTGAGGGAGGCCGACCTGGGTAGACTTAGGACAGAATATAGGATCCCAGACAGTGTAGACTTGATTCTCCCTGTGCCGGAAGAGAGAGCCTGTTACCCAAGGCCGGGCTGTGTGGCCATTAGTGAGGCAATCCTTAGGGCCGGACTTAGGCTGCCTGTCCACCCATTCTTTAGGTTGGTGCTTAAGTCTTACGGGCTAGCCCCGATGCAACTCAATCTAAACTCCTGGAGCCAGACGGTGGGCTCCTGGATGTTGTGAAAAGAGGCGTCGTTAGGAGTGGAGATGCCCCTTTTCGTTTTCCAGACCCTCTATATACCCAAGGTTACTGCCGGGGGGGGTATAAGACCCGGGGTTGGTACTACTTGACGTCATGGGGTTCCCACACTCCATTCGTGATCGATCTACCGAGCTTCATCAAGGAATGGAAGAGCTCATGGTGTTGGGTAGCGGGGCGATAGGACACAATGGAGGGGGACCCCCTGGCGCCTCTTATAGTCCCGGCGAAGTTTTCAACACTTAGTGAGTATAGTAGTTGCTCCTTTTGTTTTCTCTTCGGCTCGGCTTGTGTTTAACAGTTATGTTTCCTTTCGTAGGTTCCCTTCCTCAGTGTGAGCTATCAACAGAGGACTTCGACACTATCTGTGTCATTTATCAGCTGCCTCAGAAAAAGAGGTCCTACCACAGGCTGATCCGGAAGAACATCCATTTCATCACTCACGACTTAATGGCGTCCCAAGGTAATAGGACCGAAGCCCATACTTTTTATTCCGAACTCCCTAGACTTGTACTAATTCCTTATTCGTTTCTTTGCAGATAACTTCAGCAAGAAGCTGCCAGTACGCCCCGACTTCAAGACCATCCAGAAAATGATGGCTGAGGCACGGGCGTTGAAGGCCTCCTCCTCTTCGTATAAGAAGCAAATGGAGGAGCTGGTGGAGGCCAGTAAGAGGCTTCAGCCTCCGATGGAGGAGGAGGTTCAGGAGGACCCGGAGGCTGACCTCCGAAGGAAGGGCAAGAAGAGTGCTGCCCCGCCCAGACGCCCAACTGTGGCGAGGCCACCCCCAGTTTTGAGGCAAACAACTATTCCTACGGGGGTGGCCCTTCCGGAGAGAAGCCCCGTTGCGGCAGAGCCTGTCGCTGCCCCGGGCACAGCGCCCCTTGCGGCCGTACCCATTGAACAAGTTCCGGGGCAGTAGAGGAGAAAAAGGGCCCGCTCTAGCAAAGAGGTTGATTTCCTGGGCACCAACCAAGAGGAGCCCGTAAGGGAGGTGTTGGAGGCTCTCCCTCCGGAGACAACTGCGATGGCGGTGGTCCACAACAAATATTGGACTGAAGAGTGGAGGGACCACACCGCCTCCTGCACGGCTGAAGACTTGGTGGCGGCGAACAGCGCCTGTGTGGCCCGGGCACTAAGCACAAGTATCCAGCTCGAGGGCTTGGTGAAGGATCTAAACTCCAAGAGGGAGGACCTTGCCAAGCGCCTCGAGGAGGCGATGCACTATGGGGACGCTGTGCGAGCTGCCCAGGCCAAAGCCACCAAGGCAGAGGAGGGGAAGAGAGCTGCTGAGGTTCAGCTCGCTGCTTCGCAGGCAGAGGTGGAGCGGCTGAAGAAAGAGCTCTACGAAGTGGAGTGCCAGGTGGCTGCGGTAACTCGGCGACTTGACCACGCGAACGAGCACCACAAGCTCGCCACCGATGCTCTGGAGGCCTCTAACAGAGAAAAGGCGGAGCTGAAGCAGCAGACAGAGGCCCAGTCAGTGGAGATTGCCTCTCTGAAGGAGGAATTAAAGTCTGCGGGGGAGGTGGCGGTTCAGAATTTTATTGATCACTTTGAAGACCATCCCCTTTACGACGACTTTGCCAACTTCTGGGCCTCGTGGAACGCCCAAAGCCTACTAGGTCAACTGAAGGAGGTGCATCCTACCCTGGACATCTCTCAACTGGAGGCAGAGTTTGGGGGACCCACGGGAGGTCGGCCTGATAAGGTTACTGAGGAGGCTCCAGAGGCCCAGGAGGCGGCCAATGCTGAAATTCCTCCCACAGATTAGGGTTTCCTTTTTATTTTGTAATGGCTTCGGCCCCCAATGTACTTAATTTTGTGAAATGGAATGAAAAATTTTGTTAAATTTCTGTTAAGTCTTTTGGCTTCTGCTTCTTTGTATTCCTTTTGTTTTATACTTGTATGAATGACAAACATTAGACTAATTGCCTCGTGACAACGATCAGTTAACAATTGTGAACCGGTCCGCTTAAGCAAACATAAGTCCAAACACTTAAGTGAGCAGGAAGTGATTCCTCACTTCAACTTCTTAATAATCTGAGGTCAGACCAATTGGGGAAACACGAGGAACCGCTTGGTAATCAGCTAATAATTGCCGATCAGATCGCTCAAATGAACTTTCTGAAGAACTGAGGAAACTATTCCCTAGCTGATCTGGTTTGGAACTGGAGATTTATTACTAAGATAAATTACACCACCCTTTACAAAGGCGATTCCATCACTTAATAAACTTTACAACCAAGGTCAGATCGGAACAACCGATTAGCTATGACAACGTAGGATCATATCGGAACAGTCTTATCACTGGTAGTATTTTCTCAAGTGCTCGATGTTCCACTTGTGAGGTAGCATCCTTCCTGACATATCTTCGACCTCGAAGGTACCAGGTCGAGATTCCCCCCGAATGCGGTAAGGGCCTTCCCAGTTCGGGCCAAAAACTCCTGACCCGGTTGGTTTTGAAGATTGAAAAACTCTTTTGAGGACGAGGTTGCCCAAGCGGAGAGTTCTGTTTCTGACCTTGGAGTTGTAAAAGCAGGTCATCTTGCGATGATATTTTGCCAAGGTCATCTGGGAAGCGTCTCTCTTTTCCTCAAGGAGGTGTAGTTCACTTATGCGCGCCTCATCGTTGCTGATCTCATTGAAATGTATCCGTCGATGTGATGGGACCCCAATCTCGACCGGATTCATTGCTTCGGCTCCGTAGGTCATTGAAAATGGGGTCTCGCCGGTTGCAGTCCGGCAAGTCGTTCTGATGGCCCAGAGGACGTGGGGGAGTTCGTCAACCCAGGCGCCTTTCGAGGCATCCAGTTTCCTTTTCAGGGTGTGCTTGATAGTCTTGTTCACTGCTTCAACCTGTCCATTTGCCTGAGGGTGATGCGGAGTCGAGAAGTCCTTCTTTATGCTCAGTTCGTCGCATAAGTCTCGCATCTTCCTGTTGTCGAACTGCCGCCCATTATCAGAGACAATGGAGTGGGGGATGCCGAATCTGCAAATGACATTTTTCCAAACGAACTTCGTAGTATTGGCCTCGGTGATTCGGGCAAGGGGTTCTGCCTCGACCCACTTAGTGAAGTAGTCGATGGCGACAATGGCAAAAGTTGCGCTTCCCCTACCTTTTGGTAGTAGACCAATGAAGTCGATGCCCCACTTGGCGAATGGCCAAGGGCTGGTCACTATAGAGAGGCTCTGAGCAGGCTGTCTTTGCACGTTAGAGAA